TGATTGTTTTTGTTCCTCTCAAAATGGTGCTCCCGCTGAAGCGCTGGCCTCATTTCGGGCTTTCGCTCGTTCCGAATCTGGCTCCCGCGGCAGCGCTGGCCTCATTTCCGCGCTTCTGCTCGTCCCGGATCGCTCCCGCGGCAGCGCTGGTCTCATTTCCGCGCTCCCGTTCGTTCCGAATCGTGCTCCTGCTGCTGCGGTGGCGTCATTATTTCCAGTGCCGTGCCACGGGATGCAATGCAATTGTATGTGGTGTTCCGCTGTGCGATGCCATGCCTTCAGCTGCAATGCTAGGAAATGCAGTGTTTGACTGCGCAATGCCACGCAAAGCTATGCCATGCTACGCTTTGAGCTTCAACACCATGCTATGCCATGTTTTGTTCTGTGCCGCTGTGCGATGCTATTCTTTGCGATGCAATGCTTTGTGATGCAATTCTTCACTACTCAACGCCAAGCCACTAAGACATACTACTCTCTGCCGTGCTCTTCTACTCCCTGCTATGCCGTGCTCTACCATGCATCACGCACTCTCTCGGAATCACTGCCCTGCTCGACATCCGACGGTGCGAATAGAGAGATCTACGCCATGGTAAGGGATGGGAGGTAGGGGTAGGACGTCAGATATGACGCGAGCGCACCTAGCTTGCCTCCCCCCCTCCCCCCCACCCCATAACGTAACGCTCCCTCCCTCAGTGCGTCCCCGGCACTGCCGCAGTGCGTCCAGCACCACAATCTGGGGGTGGGGGGGCGCTACGTTATGCCCCCTCCCGTAGCCCCCCCCCTCCCCCCCCCCAGAACGCCTGTTATGGCCGGGATTGAAAAAACGCGTTCGCGCTTGCGCTGCTGCTTGGCGGCGCACACAACGGGGGTGCGGCGCGCGCCAGTAGCGGCGGCCTTCTGAGGAGATGCGGGGGGGCGTCCTGAGAAGGCATGTGGCGTCTCAGAGGCCCTCAATCACCGAGCGCGTTCCACTACTCGCAAAGTGCCTACTTGCAAACATCCGAAAAACATGTGTTTTCCTCGATGTAAAATATCGCAGATCTCCCGCTGCGGATCCAGTCCATTTGCGACTAGTTACTTTGCGAGTAGTGGAACGCGCTTGTCAAATCAAAGCTTCTGAGGAGCTTTTGTTGTTGTTGTTGTTGTAATTGTTGTTGTTGTTGTTGTAATTGTTGTTGTGTTGTTGTTGTTGCTGTTGTTGCTGTTGTTGTTGTTGTTGTTGTTGTTGATGTTATTGTTGTTGTTGTTGTAATTGTTGTTGTTGTTGTTGTTGTTGTTGTTGTTGTTGTTGTTGTTGATGTTATTGTTGTTGTTGTTGTGGTTGTTATTATTATTGGTGCTGTTGTTGTTATTGTTGTTGTTGTGGTTGCTGTTGCTGTTGCTGCTGCTGTTGTTGTTGTTGTTGCTGCTGCTGTTGTTGTTGCTGTTGTTGTTGTTGTGGTGGTTGCTGTTGTTGTTGTTGTTGTGGTTGTTGTTGTGGCTGCTGTTGTTGTTGTTGTGGTTGTTGTCGTTGTTGTTGTTGTGGTTGTTGTTGTTGTTGTTGTTGTTGTTGTTATTGTTGTGGTTGTTGTCGTAGTTGTTGTTGTTGTTGTTGTTGTTGTTGTTGTTGTTGTTGTTGTTGTTGTTGTTGTTGTTGTTGCTGCTGTTGTTGATGTTGTTGTTGTTGTTGTTGTTGTTGTTGTTGTTGTTGTGGTTGTTGTTGCGGCTGTTGAGAAGACCCCCTGGCCCTTTGAAGAGGGCCTTGCCCTCTAAGAAGCTTCCCTCCTTCCTAGAAGGCCGCCCCCTCGCGCCGGCCCCCTGCGAGCGCCGCCGAGCGGGTGGCGCGACGGGTGAGGCGGGGGACCGCCCGCGCGCGGCAGGGCCCCTCTCGATGCGATCGACCCGATCGAATCGATTCGCCCTCCTCGCCCTCCTCCTCCTCCTCCTCCTCCTCCTCCTCGCCCTCCTCCTCCTCCTACTCCTCCTCCGCCCTCCTCCTCCTCCTCCTCCGCCTTTTCGTCCTCCTCCTCCTCGCCCTCCTCTTCGGCGCTCCGATCTCGACCGGCCCGATCCGATTCGTGTCCGAGAGTCCGACGATCCGATGCGCCCCGACGCTTGCAGGGCGCTGTGCATCCTGGCGCGGCCGATGCGATCCGACCTCGGCTCCCTGCCGGGGCGGCCCGCTCCGACGCACGTTCCCAGCCGCTTGGCCGATTCCGCGCCGTCTGCTCCTGTTTCTTTCTGCGCCCAGGGCCCTTCCCTTCTCGGAGTTCCGCCATGAGTGCTGGAGCACCCCTGCAGTGTTGGCCGCTGACGCTCATGACGTGTATTGGCCCTATGTGTGTGTGTGTGTGTGTGTGTGTGGTGGGGCCCCCTACGGGGAGTCTGCCGCCTGGAGGGGTGTGGGATTGAATATGGGAAGGCGTTGGCCCGCTCCAGCGTGAATTTGCCCGTGCTGCTGCAGAAGCGGGCTCTGGCGAGGACGCGGCAGTATAGGGGGCTCACGCTGCCGAAACGCCAAAGGATTTTTGCGTTAGTTATTCCCTTAAGGTCGTGTGTGTGTGGGGGGGGGGGAGGGGGAAGAAGCCGGTAGTTCGACGACATCCCGTTCCACCCGTATCGAGCTCAGCCTTCACAGCTGTAACCTTCAAGTGTGTGTTGCCCTGTTCAGTTCCACTGGCGGCTCGCGAGCTCGTGTCGGCCCTCATCACGTTGCCCGCGTCGCACCGAAGGACTTTGGTGCATGCGCACAGGTTGGCGCCAACGCGGGTTCTGAGGATCATCAGAATCGGGCCGCTGCCCTCGTCCTGTTTGCTACGGCGCCTTTCAGTGCGCCGCCTTGCTACACTGTGCCGCACAGCTGCCCTGTGCCTGCCCGACCGATCTTCGCGAGCGCCAGGTCCGCGACAAAGTGATGAGGTGCAGGGGCGGGGGCTCGAGCGTCAGCGTTAAGTCGGGCATGTCCCTCTGCAGGAGGAACTCTCAAGAAGCATAACAATAGTCAGATGCCTTTTTTGTTGAGTGTGTGTGTTGTTGTTGTTGTTGTTGTTGTTGTTGTTGTTGTTGTTGTTGTTGTTGTTGTTGTTGTTGTTGTTGTTGAACATTATTACTTCTAAAGAATAATTATTGTTGGGACCCCTGGTGCACGACCCCCCCGCCGCGCCTAGGCCGCAGCCTCATTTTCATCATTTTCGTGAGGAAGTCTCAGGCAAAACGGGTTGGTCCGGATCCGGTTGTGTTGTTACGATCGGTTTTCCCTTGCAAAAAATAAGCTAAAGTGGACATTTCTTGTTCTAACATAACCAAACTTCAAGAATCCCTTGCAAAAAATAAGGTAAAGTGGACATTCGCGCGCGCAAGACGAAATCCTTCCAAAACCTTAGTTTTCGTAGCGATTTTAACATAAAAACATCAAAAAACCAATGGTTTTTCAAAACAAAATTGTCAAAATTTCATCCCGCGCGCTCTTGCGGATTCGTAGGAAACCCAACACTTTTTAAACATTTCTGTCAAACGGGCTTTTGCGAGCAACTTTTTCGAACTTCTGCAACAACGGTTGCGCACCTGCCAGGGCCATCATCCCTGTCAAATAATACCATGCGGGACACATTCGTTTTTTCTTCGCGCGCGCACGCCGTCGTCGTCGGCCGCGGGGCCCTGAATAGTAGCCACGGTCGTCCGCATGCCACGAAGTGAAGTGTCCGAACGTCATAGGGCGGGAAGCTGGGTGTGGGTGGTGGCGAAGAGTCGTTTGGAAATTTGGTAGAGCTTGAACCGGCCCCCCCACAAAGTGGGGGTATTGCCCGCCTCCTATGAAAACCCTGGCACTGGTGAGAACGGAGTGTCCCCACGTGCTAGTAATTGTTGTTGTTGTTGTTGTTGTTGTCGTCGTCGTCGTCGTCGTCGTCGTCGTCGTCGTCGTCGTCGTCGTCGTTGTTGTTGTTGTTGTTGTTGTTGTTGTTGTTGTTGTTGTTGTTGTTGTTGTTGCTGCGTTTTTTTTTTTTTTTTTTTTGTTCTTCTTCTTTTTTTTGTTTTTTGTTTTTTGGTTTATGGTTCTTCCAGAATCCGCTCGTAGGAGGACGTGCCCGACCTAACGTCAGCGCGTGGCGGCAGCAGAGAAAATGATACGTATTATACATGTGCATGTGTATATACAGAGGGAAAGAAAACTATATTCATAGAGAGAGGGAGAGAGGGAGAGGGTGAGGGATAGGGAAAAGGATCACGAGACGGAAGGGGAGAGGGAAGGCTTTCAAGCGAGGGCGGGGCTCAAAGTGAGAAGCCAATGCGCACGCGCGCGGGCGAGACGGATGTAGACATGGGCGCGCGAGGGGTATGGTACCGCTACGGTTTTAGTATCCCTACGGTTTGGTACCCCACCCCACCCGGATTTAGTACCCCTACGGTTTTACTCCCCCACCCCACCCGGATTTGGACCCCCTACGCTTTTGGTGCCCCGTATGGTCCTGCCGAGCAGCGGGGAGGCTCCCTCCGCGCGCTCCCGCGGGGGCTCGTGCCTGCAGCTCCTCGGGGGCCTGTTCAGGATGGCTGTGTGTGTGTGTGTATATATATATAGTTTTGTATGAGGCTTCCCTCCCGTGGCCTTCCCTTGCCGCTGGCCTCCCGTCGTGGTCTCTCGCTCGTCGGCTCGGTGTTGCTGCCGTGCCCACCCTGGCCGCGCTGGTGGGATTGGCCTCGCGTGGAGAAAGGGTTGGGCACATCACGAATACGAGGCCGTCGTAGGTGAGTCGCGATCCTCCCAGGGTAAGGCGAACAAGCCGACTTGATGTCGGGTGGTCACTGTGCTTGTGAGCTCGGTCTCACAATCATGCTACGGGCTGGGCGTGCTTCGCTGTGAGGCGCCGATGTCTGACCCGACATCTTTACACACTGCTCCAGGACCCTCTGTCCCTGTCCACAATCTTAGCTGCTGCTACCGCCTTGCTTGGTGTTCCAACAGCCTGTAAGGTGCTCGCCAAGACCCAAGCCTTTTCATGTCAGAGGCCCTGGGGGGCTGGGAGGCTTCCGGCAGACGCTGGAGTGGGACGACCTTGAGGTTTTGTGGGGTCATCCTGAGCGCATCTGCTGGAAGGACGGCTCTGTGCATCGCTCCTTGCCTCCAGGAGTGGAGAGGAACATTCTGAGGGTAGTGGTGATCATTTGATGAGGGGGGCTGAGGGAAGGGACGGAGTGAGGGAATGGGGACAGGGATTGGTGGAGGGCGTGAGATAGAGGGAGTGGTGTAGGACCGGGGGGATGGACATGGGGGTCGGGCAAGGAGGGAGCGAGGGATAGCGGGAAGAGAGAATGAAGTAGGGATCGACGAAGAAAAACGTCATAAGTTTTGGCGCTCCGCGCGGATTTCTTGGATCCGCACTGGGGCCCCCTGGCGGCGCCACCGGTGCCGTTCTTGGCGCGCTCCGCGCGCCAGGGACGGGTTCTAGCCCAGGTCCAAGAAGTCCGCGCGGACTTCCAAAAAGTTATGTTTATGCCGTGTTTGCTTCCTTTCGTTGGGAGGATGAGAACGTGGGACAGTAGGGATCCCTGGTGAGTCTTGGGGCCTGGCGGCCGCGGCCGGCGGGATCGCTTCCGTCGTCGCTCGTCGAGGCCGCGAGGAAGGGCGCGGGGGACCTCCCTGGGAGTCTCGTGGCCTGGCGGCCATGGCATGCTGGGCGGGTGAGCGTGTCGGAGTTTCGTGTCCACCCCGAACAAGAAACTCTGAACACCTCCAGCCGTTTGCGATTCGCTTCGCAGTCGTGCTGCGGCTCGCTTTTCTGATTCACCGTCAGGCGCTCTGTCTTTATGTTGTTCGCGAGGTTTACGCGATTCCTCCGACCCCCAGAAGAGGTGGGGATTCCACGATCAAGGCGTCGTGGGCTTCTCGGACACTACCTGGGGACTCTTGTGGGTGTCTTGGGAGCTGTTCGGGGGCCTGGTGTAGCCTCTTGGAGGCAATTTTGAAACGTCTTGGGGGCCGTTTTGCTGCCTTTTTTTTGCCTCTTGGGGGCCTCTTGGGGCTTATTGGGGTCCTCTTTTGGGCCGTTTGGGGGCTTCTTGGGGCCTTTGAGGGGCATCCTGGGGCGGAAAAATGATTTACGGTTCGTGGTCTTCCTTTTGGCCTCTCTTGGGGCCTTCTTGGCGCGATCTTTGGCCGTATGGGGCCCCTCGTTTGGCCGTCTTGGAACCCTATTGGGCCGTCCTGAGGCCCTCTTGGGGCCTCTTGGGCAGTTTTAGGGCGGTCTACGGGGCCTCTTGGGCCGCCTAGGAGCGTCGGAAGTTCGAGAAGACGACTACCCTAGAACCATGGAACAAAAAATCATTGATTTGCGTCTTCGGGGGCCTCTGGGGAATGCTCTTGGGCCTTTCTTGGGGCGTCTCGACGGCGTCTTGGAGCGTCTTGGAGCCATCGTGGGCGTCTTGGGCCAATCGTTCGGCGATTCGGGACCGTCTTGGAGCGACTTTGGGGCCACGGAAAGGAAGACCTGGAAGCTTTGGAGTCTCCAGGGGTGCGCCAGGGGGCCTGGACACCCACCCCGGGAGCCCGGATGCCCCTTCCTGCCCTTCTCTGGGAGAGGGGGACAGCCAATCATCTCAATTTTAAGTCGGTGGCGCGGAGGGACCTCACGCGCGGTCTGCAGGTGGAGGTGCCAATAGCGAGCGAAAACTTAGTCGGACGCGCCATGATGAAGTAATCCAGTCACGGCCATGCAGATGGGTGGTGAAAACTTCAATCATCTCACACGCCTTCTCACCCTCAGCACGCGGGTGTCGGCGGGTTTTGTCCCAAGGAGTACCAACTGCGCACTCATCTGCCCGCGCGTCCTGCCGGAAGGCTTGCGAAGTGACGGCAGTGCTGCCAAGGGCTGGCGCATGGCTTCTGTTCTGCCACCACCCTGTGGGGTGGGTAAGAACTGGCTGCCAGGATCGGCTCGAGAGCTCGGGGGTCCACGACATGGGCAGATGGTGACGTCGGAGATCCGGGGAGAGCCCAATCTTGTCCGGGGAGCGGCGCAAGGGGCGCGAGGGCACGTCGGCGCGCTCCGCGTTCTCTCCGCAGCGCTGGACGCGAAGTCGCGTGGTCTGGGTGAAGCCGGCAGGGCCCACTTCGATTCGACCAGTCTGGCCCGATACCGCTGTCGCCCGGCCCGATCCGCTTCGGTCTCGACGTTTCCGGGGGCGATCCGGTGTGGCCTTCTGCTCGCGCGGCGCCGTCGTGCAGCCTGGCGTGTCCGATCGGATGCAGCTCCAACTCTGTGAGGATGCAGCCCGATCCTGCGCATACTTCGATGCGATCCGACTTCCCGAGTCGATGCTGACCGACTCTGCGCTGGCTGGGTCTGGTGTCCGCAGAAGGGAGAGGCACCGCGTTCAACAATGGGACTCTGACGTCCTCAAGCTCCGCCCCCGCTCCTGTCGACGTCCGTCGGGGCCACGGTGTTTGCTGAGCGGCCTTGCCGAGCTGCCTTGCTGGTGATGTACGGAGCGAGGTGCATCAGTGAGCGGGAGGTTGAACGCGGTTTTGTGCACGCGGGATCGCAGATGGTCTACATGTACATGTCCTTTGTCGCTCAGGAAGTGGAGTGCGGGGAGAGGGAGAGGGGGGTGCAGGTGGGCGAGGGAGAGAGGGAGGGAGATGGGAGAGGCAAGGGATAGGTGTAGAGGGAGGGGATGAAGGGGAGGGGACACTTAGAGAGAGGGAGAGAGAGGTGGGCGAAGGGGTTATGAGGCAGGAGTGAGTGACAGGGGAAGGATGGGAGGAGAGCGAGGGCGATGGGGATAGGGGGGAGGGAGGAGGGAGGAGGGAGGAGGGAGGAGGGACGAGGAGGCAGAGGGATACGAGCAGCTTGCCCAGCGAGGATGTCAAGAGGGACAAGGACGACGGGTGCGTCATCGCGATCTTCAACGGCAAGGATCTAGGCTTCCCAGATGGGGTCCGAGTAGATGGAGTCGGAGGATCGCGCCGCGTCGCAGATGCTTCGGAGATGCAGCACGACGTGGAATACGATTTCCTCCACTCCGACGTCGCCGCTGATACGCTGGCGATTCATCGGTGATGCATCGACGATGCGGCGTGATCCTCGGACCCCACCTGCTCCGACCCCATCAGGGAGGCCTCAAGAGGACTCGAGTAGAGGATCGACTACATAATCGATTTACCCCAAACTTGATTTTCTCGTCTGGTCCTACGTGGAATGTTCGTAGATCTACGAATATTCTACGCACGCCTCATGCAGTGGGATGAACAACCCAAATTTTGTGGAAGATCACTTGTTGACGCTTCGCGAATCCCCACCAGCCCATCCAGAAACGATGCCCAGAGGAATTGCCCGGATCAGGGAAGTGGGCAGCACACAGCGGAAGCTATTATGAGACATCTTGGGATATCTTGAGCCATTTTGGAGGTCATCTTGGGCTCTCCCAGGCGCTCTTGGAGTCATCTGAATCAGTGCTCCCCGCCAAGAGGCCAACATGTGGCTAAAACCTTAGTGAAATCAATGATTTGGCATTCTCGCCGAGGCCTCTTGGAGCATCTTGTGTGCCTCTGCGGGGTCTCTTGGGGCCTCTTGGGGGTCTCTTGGGGGCATCCTGGGGGCATCTTGGGGGCCTCTTGGGGCCATCTTGGGGTCATCTTGGGACCTCCTGGGCGCTTCTTGGGGCCTGGAAGAGATCGATCAAACAAGAGGGGAGTATGAATTGAAGCAGTTTTTGGGCGTCTGGGGTCCTTTTAGACGCCATCGGGGCGCTCTGGGGGGCATCTTGGAGCACATCTATCAAAGAAGAGCAGAGCTTTAATTAGCGTTGCCCCTCCAGAGCAGAGCTTTAATTAGCGTTGCCCCTCCAGACTGTCTAAAATCGCTTCCTGGACCCCTCTTGGATCGCTCTTGGAGCGCTCTTGGACGCTGTTGAGGCAGTCTTGAGGCTCTCTTGGGCCCCTGTTGGGGCCCAGTTGGGACATCTTGGCGCCATCTTGAGGCCTCGGATGGGCTTCGGAAGCGAAAAAGTGAGAACACCAAAAGCATTGGTTTTCCCCAGGGTTTTGAAGCATTTCGGCCTTTTGAGGGCACTCTAATGATGCTCTTGTGGGCACTTGGAACCATCTTGGAGCGGTCTTGGAACGTGTTGGAGCGTCTTCTGAACCATCTTCAGGCATCTTGCGCTATCTTGAGCCATCTTGGAGGCGATCTTGGGCTCTCTGAGGCCCTCTTGGAGCCGTCCTGGGCCATCTTGGACGCTCTGACCGCTCCCCGCCCCTCCTGTCCAGGTCAGTGGGGAGGGGGTAGGGGGAGGGGTAAACCCCTCCCCGAAGGGGAAGAGGGAGGGGTGGAAGAGGAAACGCCCTAAACCACCGACGCCCAGAGGGCTGGTGGGATTCTGCAGAGTCGATCCCCTGCTCCAAGGACTGCTTCAAGGAGCCCGACGGCCACTTCGTCCACCCCTCGGTCAACGTTGCCAAGGCAGCGCAGGCCCCGCCTCCCCGTTCCGCGCCCCGCCTTCTCCCGCTTCTCGCGCCGCCCTCGGCGTCCCCTCCGCCGCCGCGCGCTGCTCCTGCCGCTGCGGTCTCGTCCCTGCTGCTTGTCGTTTTGGTCGGGAGCGGCAAAGAGGGGGGTGATGACTAGGGGGGGGGTGGATCTCATGGCGGGGGCCATGATATCTCCCCAGATTTCATGGCGCCCCTTCTTGTTTCAATATGTCCCTGGCCCCCCCGCTGGGCCGCGCACATGCCGCCGGCCATGATGTGCACCCCCCCCTCTTGGACACCCCCCTCTTGGCCGCTCCCGATTTGGTCGGTCCCGATCGACCTCAGGAGGCGCAGCTGGGCGATCAAAGCACGTCGATGCTGCTGTTGTCAGTCTTGGGCTCACGTTTCGCGTTTCGCCTCTTGCGGGAGTTCTCTGAGCCAGCCTGGCCACAGACCATGTGCATGCAGAAAGGGTATGGGAGCACTGCTCAGACACGTGCGCAAGAAGTCATGATGGAGAACATCCAGGCCCCGGCCCTCCATACGTTTCAGCCCTGGTTTCTGTGTTTGGGGACGCCTTCCGAGACAAGGGCCCGGAGGAGTGCTCCACTGATGACGCCTCGAGTCCCGGTGCTTTTGCTAGGACGTGTCTGTTCGCCCTCGGCGCCTCCCGTCTTTCGAGCTCTCGCGTGGCTGCGGTGTTTGGGCCCCCTTCGGTCCCTGTCGCCGCACTGTGGCTCTGTTGTTGGGGAGCCGAGGCCGGGCGTCTGTCCGCGTCCAAGTGCAGGTCGCCCTTGCTCGTGGTCGCCGTCGCTCGTCGTCGTCGTCGTCGTCGTCGTCGTCGTCGCCGTCGTCGTCGTCGTTGTGGTCGTCGTCGTCGTCGTCGTCGGCGTCGTCATCTTCGTCGTCGTCGTCGTTGTCGTCGTCGTTGTCGTTGTGGTTGGTTGTGGTTGTGGTTGCTGTTGCTGTTGCTGTTGCTGTTGTTGTTGTTGTTGTTGTTGTTGTTGTTGTTGTTGTTGTTGTTGTTGTTGTTGTTGTTGTTGTTGTTGAACATTATTACTTCTAAAGAATAATTATTGTTGGGACCCCTGGTGCACGACCCCCCGCCGCGCCTAGGCCGCAGCCTCATTTTCATCATTTTCGTGAGGAAGTCTCAGGCAAAACGGGTTGGTCCGGATCCGGTTGTGTTGTTACGATCGGTTTTCCCTTGCAAAAAATAAGCTAAAGTGGACATTTCTTGTTCTAACATAACCAAACTTCAAGAATCCCTTGCAAAAAATAAGGTAAAGTGGACATTCGCGCGCGCAAGACGAAATCCTTCCAAAACCTTAGTTTTCGTAGCGATTTTAACATAAAAACATCAAAAAACCAATGGTTTTTCAAAAAAAAAATGTCAAAATTTCATCCCGCGCGCTCTTGCGGATTCGTAGGAAACCCAACACTTTTTAAACATTTCTGTCAAACGGGCTTTTGCGAGCAACTTTTTCGAACTTCTGCAACAACGGTTGCGCACCTGCCAGGGCCATCATCCCTGTCAAATAATACCATGCGGGACACATTCGTTTTTTCTTCGCGCGCGCACGCCGTCGTCGTCGGCCGCGGGGCCCTGAATAGTAGCCACGGTCGTCCGCATGCCACGAAGTGAAGTGTCCGAACGTCATAGGGCGGGAAGCTGGGTGTGGGTGGTGGCGAAGAGTCGTTTGGAAATTTGGTAGAGCTTGAACCGGCCCCCCCACAAAGTGGGGGTATTGCCCGCCTCCTATGAAAACCCTGGCACTGGTGAGAACGGTGTGTCCCCACGTGCTAGTAATTGTGCTGTTGTTGTTGTTGTAGTTGTTGTTGTTGTTGTTGTTGTTGTTGTTGTTGTTGTTGTTGTTGTTGTTGTTGAACTCTCATTCTTGAAGAATAATTATTGTTGATCCCCCCTCACCGGTGCATATTGATTTTTTCAATTGAAGTGCCCCCCCCGGGGCTCGCATTTTGTTTTTTGTCAAGGAAGGTCTTCCTGCTCAAACTGGCCCCTTGCCCCCCGGACTACAACAACAACGGCTCCCGCCTGAGACTTCCTTACAATTTAGCCAGGACCCCCGCTCTCGCCCGAGACTTCCTCGCATTTTATTCAGGAATCGCGCTTTCGCTTGGGACTTCCTTACAATTTATTCAGGAATCGCTTTCCCGGCGCTCTGGAGTCGCGCTTTCGCTGGAGACTTGCTTGCAATTTACCATAGAATAGCGCCCTTGCGTTGGATTTTCTTGCAGTTTACTCAAGCGCCGCGCTCCCGACACCCAGGCACCCAGGAGTCGCGCTCACGCTTAGGATTCCTTCACAGATTACCTAGGATCTCGCTGCCCTTCGTGGCCCCGTTGCAGCCCTTCGTGGCCCCCTCGCTTTGTTTCGTGGCCCCGCTGCAGCCCTTCGTGGCCCCCTCGCTGCCCTTCGTGGCCCCGTTGCAGCTTCTCGTGGCCTTCTCGCTGCCCTTCGTGGCCCCGCTGCAGCCCTTCGTGGCCCCCTCGCTTTGTTTCGTGGCCCCGTTGCAACCCTTCGTGGCCCCCTCGCTGCCCTTCGTGGCCCCGTCGCAGCCCTTCGTGGCCCCGTTGCAACCCTTCGTGGCCCCCTCGCTGCCCTTCGTGGCCCCGTTGCGGCCCTTCGTGGCCCCCTCGCTGCCCTTCGTGGCCCCATATATGTATGCCCTTCGTGGCCTCCGCTCGTTCGCGCCCGTGGTTGCCCCATATGCATGCCCTTCGTGGCCCCGCTGTCGCCCTTCGTGGCCCCCTCGCTGCCCGTTCTGCCCCGTGGCCCCGTTCTTGCCCTCCGCGGCCCAATATACGTATGCCCTTCGTGGCCCCCGCTCGTTCGCGCCGGTTTTGGCCCCATGTGCATGCCCTTCGTGGCCCCGCTGTCGCCGTTGCGGCCCTTCGTGGCCCCCTCGCAGCCCTTCGTGGCCCCGTTGCAACCCTTCGTGGCCCCCTCGCTGCCCTTCGTGGCCCCGTTGCGGCCCTTCGTGGCCCCCTCGCTGCCCTTCGTGGCCCCATATATGTATGCCCTTCGTGGCCCCCGCTCGTTCGCGCCCGTGGTTGCCCCATGTGCATGCCCTTCGTGGCCCCGCTGTCGCCGTGTGTGGCCCCCTCACTGTCCTACGTGGCCCAATTGCTACCTTCAGTGGCCCCATCGTTGCCTTCTGTGGCCCCGCATTATCTGCCTTTCGTGGCCCCCGCTCGTTCGCGCTCTTCGTGGCCCCATACGCATTCCCTTCGTGTCCCCGCTGTCGCCCTTCGTGGCCTACTTCGTGTCCTTCGTGGCCCTGCTGTCGTTCTCTCTCGCTCTCGCTTTCGCTCGTCGTCGTCGCGTCGTCGTCGTCGTCGTCGTCGTCGTCGTCGTCGTCGTCGTCGTCGTCGTCGCCGTCGTCGTCGACGTCGTCGTCGTCGTCGTCCTCGTCGTGGTCGGTCCCCTGTCCGTCCCTCTGGGGGTCGGGTCGACGGTCCGCGGCCGCCCCGCCGATCAGCGCTGCCGCTGGCCAGGCCGACGGTCCGCGGCCGCCCCGCCGCTTGCCGGGGCCCGGCCTGCAGGGAAGAAAGGTATACCCCCCAAAAGGGGTTCGATCGAAGACGGAGAGGGCGGGTATCGAAGGTTTGGGAAATACGCGTTATTGGGCACTCGAGCAGATAAGGGCGAACAGTCTTAACATGATTGTTGTTGTTGTCGCTGTTGTTGTTGTGTCGTTGTTGTTGTTGTTGTTGTTGTTGTTGTTGTTGTTGATGAACATTATTACTTCTAAAGAATAATTGTTGTTGGGACCCCTGGTGCACGGCCCCCCCGCCGCGCCTAGGCCGCAGCCACATTTTCATCATTTTCGTGAGGAAGTCTCAGGCAAAACGGGTTGGTCCGGATCCGGTTGTTTTGTTCCCCCCCGCTTTCCCTTGCAAAAAACAATATAAAATGACATTTCTTGTTCTAACATCAAATTTCAAGAATCCCTTGCAAAAAATAAGGTAAAGTGGACATTCGCGCGCGCAAGACGAAATCCTTCCAAAACCTTAGTTTTCGTAGCGATTTTAACATAAAAACATCAAAAAACCAATGGTTATTTCATATAAAAAAATATTAAATATATAAAAAAAAAAATCATCCCGCGCGCTCTTGCGGATTCGTAGGAAACCCAACACTTTTTAAACATTTCTGTCAAACGGGCTTTTGCGAGCAACTTTTTCGAACTTCTGCAACAACGGTTGCGCACCTGCCAGGGCCATCATCCCTGTCAAATAATACCATGCGGGACACATTCGTTTTTTCTTCGCGCGCGCACGCCGTCGTCGTCGGCCGCGGGGCCCTGAATAGTAGCCACGGTCGTCCGCATGCCACGAAGTGAAGTGTCCGAACGTCATAGGGCGGGAAGCTGGGTGTGGGTGGTGGCGAAGAGTCGTTTGGAAATTTGGTAGAGCTTGAACCGGCCCCCCCACAAAGTGGGGGTATTGCCCGCCTCCTATGAAAACCCTGGCACTGGTGAGAACGGAGTGTCCCCACGTGCTAGTAATTGTTGTTGTTGTTGTTGTTGTTGTTGTTGTTGTTGTTGTTGTTGTTGTTGTTGTTGTTGTTGGGGTTGTTGTTGTTGTTGTTGTTGAACTCTCATTTCTGAAGAATAATTATAGTTGACCCCCCCGTTTGGTGCACATTGTTTTTTGATTGAAGTGCCCCCCCCGGGGCTCGCACTTTTTTATAGGAAAAGTCTTGAAGGTCAAACTGCGTTGTTGGCCCCTGGTTTACATCGACAGCGGCTCCCGCCTGACACTTCCTCACAGTTTATTGAAGAATCGCGCTTTCCCTTAGGACTTCCTTGCAATTTACCACTGGCTCGCGGCTCCCGCTTGATACTTTCTGACACTGTATTGAAGACTCGCGCTCTCGCTTGGGACTTCCTCGCAACTTACCACCGAGTTGCGGCTCCCGCCTGACACTCAGGAATCGCGCTCCCGCTACATATTGCATGGCGGTTCAAACAGAGTTTA